CTGGGAAATCATGCCTCTTTACAACATGCGATCTGCTACAGTAAGTATCAGTTCATGTGCTGACACTCCACCATGCCACAACAAAAAGCTGCCAAAAAAGTCAGTGCACTGACTTCCTCTATCTCTCTGTCCACAATTCTTTCCAGTGATCCCAATATGTTTCACCTTCCCTCTTCAAATAACCTGGCCAGAACATGATGACTAATCTTCTTCTGATGTTTGTGATAAATTGTCTTCTGGTCCTTGCCTCTTTCAAAACATCTGGGTTACTCATGTAAGCTGTCCAAGAACTATATGGTGATGCCCAAAGCCTGGCAATCAAACCTAGAGTGAGGAAGTGAGACAGTCAGTCAGTCAGTCAGTGTACATGCATGCGCACCCAAATGCAACATGCAGCAGCAAAACCTGCCTGAAATAAACAAGATAAAGCACACAAAGAGAAACAGCACAGGCAGGTAAACAAAAATCATAGCACAGTGAATGTTTCAGCTGCTAATGTGAGTTTAGTCAAATAACAAATGGAGGGGAAAATGTTAAACAGTTCAATCTCAGAAACAGTGCCAGGGCAATCTGTGAGTCATTCAACATTCCACTGTTAGTTTCAAACAACCATTGTTACTGTAGGCAATAGAAGTGTGATACAAGAAGGCAGCATTCCATTTCTAATGACAACTGTTCATGTAAAATCAAAGGAATGAGACATAGGAAGGATTCTGATATTAGCTTTCAACCATCTTTGTCTATCAACAGAAGAGTGCAAATGTACTGAACTGGCATTTGAGTCTGAATATCTGGGAACAACGTTCATCAAAGATGGTCAATTGAATGAAGAAATTCACATCTGAAGGAGTAGAGCAACCAAGTTTTGGGACAGCTAGCGCTCCTCTTCCCCCCCCCCCCCTTTTACAGCATAAAACAATATGTCAACACAAAGAAATATCTCATACAAAGCATATTCATTCCCAATCTATGATACTAGCTCCAGACACAGTCACTCACAACACACCAGAAAAGAACACTCCTAAACATGGAAATCAGATGTCTGAGGAAGGCTGTAAAAGTCCTAAAAGAGACCAAATCATAAATGAGGTTATAAGAGGAAAATCTGGTTAAAAACAGTGTCCAACAAAAATACACATAAAATCAACAAATCAAAAGGTTTTCCCACTCAGAGAGAATGTTTGTAACGCCATACTATACGCGGCACACATTATAAGAGTCGAAAAACATCAATCACAAGGTAGACCAAGAACAAGATGGAAAGATAACATCAGAGAAACTCTACAACAGCACAATGTGTCTATAATAGAGACAACCAGAAAATCAAGAAGCAGAAGCTTGTATCTCCTACCCTCAACACACAAAACGGTAAGAGAGGAAGTGAGAAAAAAAACTTCCATTGATATTGTTTATAAAGGCAACAGAAGTCTGATACAACAAGCCAGAATTCCACTGCTAGTTTCCAGCACCTACTGTTACTGTAAGCAATATAAGTGTGATACAAGAAGCCAGAAATCCACTGCTAGTTTCCAACACCCACTGTTACTGTAAGCAATATAAGTGTGATACAAGAGGCCAGAATTCCACTGCTAGTTTCCAACAACTACTGTTACTGTAAGCAATATAAGTGTGATACAGGAAGCCAGAAATCCACTGCTAGTTTCCAACAACCACTGTTACTGTAAGCAATATAAGTGTGATTCTAGAGGCCAGAATTCCACTGCTAGTTTCCTACAACCACTGTTACTGTAAACAATATAAGTGTGATACAAGAGGCCAGAATTCCACTGCTAGTTTCCAACAACTACTGTTACTGTAAGCAATATAAGTGTGATACAGGAAGCCAGAAATCCACTGCTAGTTTTCAACAACTACTGTTACTGTAAGCAAGTGATACAAGAGGTTAGCAGGGATAGGGAGCTGGCTGAAGCTCAACTTAACAAAGCAGTTAATCTTCCAGTTATCTTGCATGATCCCTTCATTGTCTGTCTATGTTATAAACTGTCAAACATGAATGTTCCTGGACCACAGTTGTGAACATGTGGGAGAATACATGTGCCATTCAAAGAGGCTTTGGTTTCAATAAGCTCAATTAGAAACATGTTTCTGATCTATTCAATATTAAACACACCAGTCCTCTTCAAAGTATACACAGACTTGCATCTAATTATCATGTCTGTTACTTGTAATGTATTACATACACTTGTATTATGTAACTGGTAACACTCATTGTTACATCTTTTTCTGACAAACAAGCACTAGCATATGTCTGAACTATGATTTACTCTGAGCTATAATATCTGACAGAAACAGTTCTTGGAGAAAAAAAACTTGCTGAATGACCAGTGTATGAATCTGCAAACATAATGATATCACCCCTAGTGTTGCAAGTAAATGCGTGCATGACTACCACATCTAATACAAGAGCTGATAGGCATAGATACAATAGAACACTAGGTACACCCCAGAAAGGGTTACATAAACCAAACTAGTAATATTCCTTGTAAAGAAAATATAATTTCCTTTCAAATCAAGATTATTTATAATACGATAACAGTGCAGGTAAAAAATATGGCTACATGTTTAACCACACGTTTTATCTCAAGCTGGCATTATGGCTGAGACAACAAGACCACTAGAAAGATAATTCACAACAGTACAATACAAAATCAAGTCATTCAACTGCCTCAGACAGCTCACTATTCACATCACAACATAATCAGCAATGTCTTGGAAAATTACTCACTACTTTCTAATTCATACCCACTAAAAAAGGATGAATAAATTTCTCTGTTGCCAGCAAGTTGGTGTCTAATGGTTTCTGGGTCTAAACTATCTTCAAACAACTCCACAATCTGCAGTCACACTAACTTTAAACCTGTAGCCATATTTCTGACTCATGGTGTCCATCTATTCTCATTTAGTGTTGCCACTTCTGGGTGGCTGTCCCCAGGTTCTGGTCAGTGGAGCAGACGCTTCTGTTTTCGGAGAAGTTGCAGTGCCACCTGGTGATCTCGCAGCTGGCCCAGATGCTGAAGGTGAGGCCGCCCCTGTTGTCTCAAACCTGGATGCTAACTGGGAAAAAGGACTTGTGGGTTTTGATGCTGCCCCAACAGGGGAAGTCGGGGATGGCTGTGCAAACTTGGATGCTAGACTGGCTACGAAAGAAGATTTAGAAGAGTCTGCCCCTGAACGAGACAGAGGTTTGGATGTGAGTGACTCTGGTCTGGAACCTGGGGGCTTGGGGGACAGGTTCTCAACAAAGGAAACCACTGGCTGGTCTACTGCAGCACCAGGGGCTGGAGAAGGCTCTGTGGGAGCAGACTCTGAAGCCTTTGGCTGTGTCTTTGCTTCTGTGACAGAAGTTGAAGTTATGCTGGGCTGTCCACTCATTGCTGTTGTAGTAACAGGGACGGAAGAAGTCACAGTTGGTTTACTAAGAGGTGCTGTGGTGGCAACACTGGAGATGTCACACCAAGTTTACCAATGGATGGAGTGATGGAAGGACTGGGAGAAGGAGCTACACCTGGTTTAGCAACAAATGAATTAGTGGCAGGACTGGCAGCAGTCTTATCAACAGGTGGAGCAGTGGCTGCGCTGGGAGAGGCAGGAATCACACCTGGTTTAGTAACAGGTGGAGGAGTGGCTGAGCTAGGAGAGGAAAGAGTTACACCTGGTTTAGTAACAGGTGGAGGAGTAGCTGAGATAGGAGACAAAGGAGTCACACCTGGTTTAGTAACAGGTGGAGGAGTAGCTGAGATAGGAGACAAAGGAGTCACACCTGGTTTAGTAACAGGTGGAGGAGTGGCTGAGCTAGGAGAGGCAGGAATCACACTTGGTTTAGTAACAGGTGGAGGAGTGGCTGAGCTAGGAGAGGAAAGAGTTACACCTGGTTTAGTAACAGGGGGAGGAGTAGCTGAGATAGGAGACAAAGGAGTCACACCTGGTTTAGTAACAGGTGGAGGAGTGGCTGAGCTAGGAGAGGCAGGAATCACACCTGGTTTAGCAACAGGTGGAGGAGTGGCTGAGCTAGGAGAGGAAAGAGTCACACCTGGTTTAGTAACAGGTGGAGGGGTGGCTGAGCTAGGAGAGGAAGGAGTCACACCTGGTTTAGTAACAGGTGGAGGAGTGGCTGAGCTAGGAGAGGCAGGAATCACACCTGGTTTAGCAACAGGTGGAGGAGTGGCTGAGCTAGGAGAGGAAAGAGTCACACCTGGTTTAGTAACAGGTGGAGGGGTGGCTGAGCTAGGAGAGGAAGGAGTCACACCTGGTTTAGCCACAGGTAGAGGGGTGGCTGAGTTAGGAGAGAAAAGAGTCACACCTGGTTTAGTCACAGATGGAGGGGTGGCTGAGCTAGGAGAGGAAAGAGTCACACCTGGTTTAGTCACAGATGGAGGAGTGGCTGAGCTAGGAGAGGAAAGAGTCACACCTGGTCTAGCAACATCTGAAGTGGTTGCACTAGCAGAACCAGCAGTCTGGACAGAATTTCCAAAAGTAACTGAAGAGACAGAGCTTGGTGATGTAGTAACAGACTGACCCACAGCTGGTGATGATACAGGAGATTCAAGGGTGGGCTGAGAAGCCTGGCCTGGTGAAACAATCTCAGGCAGATCTACAGACTGTTGTGAAAGTGACTGCACTTGTGCTGTCACAGTTTCACTATCTTCAGTTGGTGCACCAGCTACACTTTCTACTTCCTTTGCTGGGGCTGACACTGTAATTATTTCAGCAGTCTGTGGGATCTGGACAGTGGCTGACAGAGGTAGGGGACTGGTAACTTCAGAAGAAGAAACCAGTGAGGGTAGTGAAGGAACTTCTTCAGAAGGCAAATCTATAACGCTGGGCTGCTGAAATTCACTTGGTGACACTTTCTCTTCAGCAGCAACATCTGCTCCATCTTCAGCAACCTTCTCAGACTGCCCAGTGGCCACAGAGATTACATCAACACCCTGTGAGGAGGACAAATCAGCTGTACGCACAGCACCTGCACTGGATCTTACCTCCGTTTTCGGCTCCTCTTCTTTATTTAGTGAAGATTTGGAACTAGAAGGTGTTGGCTCTGCTATTTTCTCGTCCAGCCTGGCCTTGATGTTCTCAAACCTGTCCACGCCCAAGTAGTCGGCACGCCCCTGCTCCCACTGGAGCTTCCTGCCACGGTCATCCTTGTCAACAGTGTCCCCTTGAAGACTGATGTGTGCTAGCTCTCCAACAATACCTCCCTGAAACAAACACACAACACATACATCGACTGAAGATACATGATATTCCACAGATCAGTTCACATTGTAATCTTCTTCTTTTTCTTCTTCTTTCTCTGTTTACCAGCTGTAAGTCCCCAGTATAAATTCTTGGTTGTTCGACCATTTGAACTTTGGCTTCACGTCAGTGCCTGAGCTTTGAGTGCACATTTATCTGTTTATTCGCGTGCAGGAGGTTGTTCCTTGCCTCTCAGGCAGATATAATCCGACTTTGAAGGAAGCCGCAATTAGTCAACTCTTAAGACATGCTTGTTAGGGAGGCAATTTCAAGAGAGGTCCCACTAATCAACAGACTGATAGTCCAGGCAACATAAAAAGTTATCTGACTTTCCTGTTTTAGCCCTCCATCTTCTGTCTCTCTCTCCCTTCCCTCTCTGTCTCTCTCACAGACACACAGACACACACAGCGAGTATGTGAGAGTTTGCTGACAACTCTCCAACAGTCTAAATATAGCCGCCTCATGCAGCTCTCAGCCAGATAATGCCTGTATGAGTGTCTCTACCGCTCAAGTGTGAGTGTTTGTATCCTTCCGTCTGATAACAGCATCCTCTGCAATTTATTATCGTGCTTTCTCGGAGGATTACCATGCATAAAAAAACAGGTGAGAGAGCGAGAGAGAGAGAGAAGGATATAGAAGGAGAAGGAGACATGAAGCAGATGTATGCTGCCAAGAAGCGTTAGCATGTAAATCACCATTATGTTGTGAGAAAAGAATGTTATAAATAACTTTTACAGCAGCTGGTGAAAGTGAGCAGCACAGAAAGACAGGTACAACAAACGAGAGCTGGGGTCCATGAAAGACAGGTAGTAAACATGACAAGTTATACAGAGATTTGTTGGCACTGACAGACAGGTCGGGTGAGCTGACCGGCAGACGGACAATCTGGCGGCTGTGTGGTTCAATAGAAGTATGAAGTTTACTATATACACAGTAAAAATATATATATATATATATATATATATATATATATATATATATATATATATACATATATATATATATATATATATATATATATACTGAGTACACTGTGACAAATATACATTTACTATACACACAAAGACAAAGATACGTCTACTATATACACAGCGACAAATATATGTTTACTATATACACAGTAAAAAAATATTTATTTACTAAGTGCACTGTAACAAATATACATTTACTATAAACACAAAGACAAAGATATGTCTACTATATACACAGCGACAACTATATGTTTATTATATACATGTGTAAATATATATGTGTGTGTATATATACTTGTCTGGAAGGAAGAGCTTGAAAAGAAAGGGATGACCATCAGTGTCTCCAAAACTAAAACCATGGTGATCTCAAAAGAGGAGATGAAACACCAGATCATGATGGGACAGTATGCGTTGGAGCAGGTTAACCAGTTCAAATACCTGTTGTATTTATTAGACAAAAATGGAGGCATTAAGACTGAGCTAACTACACGAAAAGCAGCTGCTGGGAGACTCTTCCAGGCCATAAACCGAGGGTTTTTTAGCAAAAGAGAAATTGGCAAGAGGACGAAAATGGCTGTTTACCGCTCTACCTATGTACCAGTCCTGACCTATGGGTGTGAGTCATGGGCAATGACAACAGCTCACAGAAGCCAGCTGCAGGCCTCGGAAATGAGATACCTGAGAAAGGTGGTCCAAGTGACAAGAAGGGACAAAGTCCGCAATCAGACAATACGTCAAGATCTTGATACCCAGCCTTTACTAACCCGAACAATATCGTCAGCGACTAAGTAAGTATAAACTGTATATATACAGTGTCAAATATATGTTTGCCATATACTGTGTCAAATATTCGTCAGATACAATAACAAATATAAACTGTCTTCATTCTTCACAGGTGTTCATATATATACACAGCACATAACAATATCTGGCTAAGCAACTTGGAGAGGAATGGACACAGACAGACAGACAAGCAAATGGGGAGAACGGCTCCCAATAAGTGAAGAGTGCCCTTTAACTAGGTCACACAACAAGCGATGGCAGGTCAAAACCAGAAATGGATGTGAACCAGCTAGCCAGGTAAGTCTTCCATTTATCTGTCGTCCAGCGGGCCGGCTGTGTATTCGAATCTCCTGCAAGGAAGACATTTGTTTTCCCGCCAATGCAAATTGCCGGCCGGGTCGACCCAGACTAATATAAGATATAAATCTATACAGGCAGCGTTTCTAACCCCAGCCAGCCATTTATAGCAGTGTTCTTCAAGCAGTGGGCGGTGGGAAAGTCTAAGTGGGCCACCAAAAATATCTGTATCATCATGTAACGAGGTATGGTGTGTAGTTTTTCTCTTCCAGAGATTGCAGTCTGTAGGATTAACGCCTCAAGGATGAGAATCAAAAGATGTCGCATCTGCTGATGATGGTAATTTTGTGGGTTAAAGTAACCACAAATAAAGTAGGTCACATTTCATTAACAAGTTTGCTGGGCTGGTCGACTTTCCCGAATGTTACTGGTGTGTCTCGCTCTGTTGTTTGCTTTCTGCGTTGTCTTGCATTTACGTTTTCATTCCGAGAAAGATAATGCCTGTGACATAGGTTGCAGCACTCTTGGTTGTGTTAGAGCCAACTTCTCCATGTTTTTAGAGTGTTAAAAGCGCTGGCGAGCTGAAACATGCAACACCCGATATAAATGGCATCGCGGAACACCGCTCTTACCTTGGGAAAAGGTCACGGGGCTCAGGAACTACCGATCAGAAGTGAGCTAGTGTGTATATGGACGGGGCGTGGGGAATCAGTAATCTTAGTTTCAGCTTCATAGCAAACGGGTCACCCCATAGTTGCTCCGCTCCTGTGCCAACAAAAAACACATAGAATGTTTATCGCAACACAGCTCCATCACCTTTGGTCGGCTATCCATGTGTACTGTGTTCAATAATCACTCAGGTGACCAGAACGTGGTCCCGGGAGTGCTAATCTCCGAGGCTGCTACAGTTGTGTCTGTGGAGGCAGTACCTTGACCTTGTTTCACCAGAACACAGGCGGCATTGACACTAAGGGGACGAGAGATCATGTGTCCTATATCTCACTGTAAGGATTCCGCGGCCCCATTCTGGTGGAGACATTGAACACAAGCAAAACCACTGCCCCTTAACAGACATGTTATAAAAGGCGCGACTTACTTACTAGGCTTTTACTGAAATCAGATGTGGTGAGCGTAGATATCGCAGCCTAGCCATATTTCTTCAACTGACTTCTTAGATGATGACCTGCCAATATTACTGTTGTACTAAAGCTGTCCATACCTACAACTATAGCCAGACATTACTGTTGTACCATAGCCGTCCATAACTACTACTACATCCAGACATTACTGTTGTACTATAGCCGTCCATAACTACTACTACATCCAGACATTACTGTTGTACTATAGCCGTCCATAACTACTATTACCATCCAGGCATTACACTGTTGTACTATAGCCGTCCATAACTACTACTACATCCAGACATTACTGTTGTACTATAGCCGTCCATAACTACTACTACATCCAGACATTACTGTTGTACTATAGCCGTCCATAACTACTACTACATCCAGACATTACTGTTGTACTATAGCCGTCCATAACTACTACTACATCCAGACATTACTGTTGTACTATAGCCGTCCATAACTACTACTACATCCAGACATTACTGTTGTACTATAGCCGTCCATAACTACTACTACTACATCCAGACATTACTGTTGTACTAAAGCCGTCCATAACTACTACTACTACATCCAGACATTACTGTTGTACTATAGCCGTCCATAACTACTATTACATCCAGATATTACTGTTGTACTTTAGCAGTCCATAACTACTACTACATCCAGATATTACTGTTGTACTATTACTACTACATCCAGACATTACTGTTGTACTATTACTACTACATCCAGACATTACTGTTGTACTATAGCCGTCCATAACTACTATTACATCCAGACATTACTGTTGTACTATAGCCGTCCATAACTACTACTACATCCAGACATTACTGTTGTACTATAGCCGTCCATAACTACTACTACATCCAGACATTACTGTTGTACTAAAGCTGTCCATAACTACTACTACATCCAGACATTACTGTTGTACTAAAGCTGCCCATAACTACTACTACATCCAGACATTACTGTTGTACTAAAGCCGTCCATAACTACTACTACATCCAGACATTACTGTTGTACTAAAGCTGTCCATAACTACTACTACTACATCCAGACATTACTGTTGTACTATTACTACTACATCCACACATTACTGTTATGCTTTAGCCGTCCATAACTACTACTACATCCAGACATTACTGTTGTACTATAGCTGTCCATAACTACTACTACATCCAGACATTACTGTTGTACTATAGCCGTCCATAACTACTACTACATCCAGACATTACTGTTGTACTATAGCTGTCCATAACTACTACTACATCCAGACATTACTGTTGTACTATAGCCGTCCATAACTACTACTACATCCAGACATTACTGTTGTACTTTAGCAGTCCATAACTACTACTACTACATCCAGACATTACTGTTGTACTATAGCCGTCCATAACTACTACTACTACATCCAGACATTACTGTTGTACTAAAGCCGTCCATAACTACTACTACTACATCCAGACATTACTGTTGTACTTTAGCAGTCCATAACTACTACTACTACATCCAGACATTACTGTTGTACTATAGCCGTCCATAACTACTACATCCAGACATTACTGTTGTACTAAAGCCGTCCATAACTACTACTACTACATCCAGACATTACTATTGTACTTTAGCCGTCCATAACTACTATTACATCCAGATATTACTGTTGTACTTTAGCAGTCCATTAACTACTACTACATCCAGACATTACTGTTGTACTATTACTACTACATCCAGACATTACTATTGTACTTTAGCCGTCCATAACTACTACTACATCCAGA